TATATATATATATATATATATATATACTTTTTATCATTTTTTAACTTTTAAATTAGCGGTAACATAAAGGAAGTAATTAATTTTTAAAAAAACCACATTAACATTTGAATAACGATATGTAAAATTATTTGTTACAAAAAAGAAGTTGCGTTAAAAATAATTGTAGTAACTTTTCGTCACGATAATTTTATTTTACCTTTTTATAGCAATTAATTTTACGCTAAACTTTTTATTTAAATATTTATGAAAAATATTACATGAAAAAAGTTCGTCAATTCTCAACTACAACTTTTTTGCAAATGTTTTTAATAAAAAGGAGTAATTTTTTTAAAGTTTTCAGTAAAAAACATTTAAAAAATCTATATTCCAAATTTATTAATACAGAATATAATTATTTTTTGCAATATAGATTTTTTTAGAGTTTTTTACTGAATTTTTATTAAAAACATTTGCAAAAAATTTGTAAAGGATTCACATTTTTTTTAATATCTCAAAAAAATGTCTTGATATTTTTGTTATCATGATAACAAAAATAACAAGACATTTTTTTAAGATATTAAAAAAAATGTGCCAATGAATGAACAATCTTTCTTAGTTAAAGGTACCTTTAACTAAGTTATCTCTTCTTAGTTAAAGGTACATTTACCTTTAAGTTATGCAGGGGGAGGAGGCCGGCATATATGAAAAAAAATTACCTGTTACTCGCAATTTTTGAATGAAGATTTGTTAAATTTCTTTTGGGTGCAATTCAATAAGTTTTTTTTTTTTTTTCATAAATCCAAGTTATATTATTAAGTTAAAGAAATCACAAGAAGACTATAACATCTGCTGATGACACTAATATTACGTTGAATATACTTATATAACGGAGGTTTCATTATGCACGCGCATATTACAGACTCCGTTAAATAAATACTAAGGCACGTTTTAGTTTAATGACAGTCTCTATTCTTTACTAATGACTATATATTTTTCTATACCAAATAAGACAAACTAGTATATAAAAACCTATTATATTTCCATTCTCTAAACTGCTTAAAGTTCGATTATGGATTATATTTTGAAGGACAAAAGATTTACTTTGTTAACTTTTAAATCCTGGGACTTTGCCAATGCTTTTCCATTAAAACTATCATAGAAAAAGAGAAGACTTACATTATTAAAATCAAATGTAAGATATGTGATCTTCATTAAAATAAAACATTATCCAAAACCAATGGTGCCGTATGGGCAGCTGCCCTACGGTTTATAAATGACAAAAGTCAATACTTTAACATGTTGGTATATTTTATTTAAGTTGGTATATAAATAAAAATAAAAATATTGTTCAATAAAAAAAAAAAAATTTTAACAAAGATTACCTAATATTTATTCTTTTTTAATTTTATTATTCTAAACTAACTAAATTGCTTACAAACAAAAAACAAAAAAAAAGTTTTGTAATTATAGATAGAATGAAAATACTTTTGCCTTTGTTTATAAGTTAAGGAACTTAATTTTTAATGAACAAATTTTAACGAACATTTTTTATAAACAGATACGATTCAAATTATTAAATATACTTATTTTAGTTTATTTGAGTATTTTTATATAATTGCATGATTAAAGTATTGCGTAGAAGTATTAAAAAAGTTTTTTGTTTTAAAAATAGTTAATGAATGAGTTTGCATAATTAAGACTTTAATTTAATTTAATTTTTTTTTTATTAATTTCATAAAATTCAAAAAATAAAAAAAAATTAATCGTTAAAAACGATTTTTCTCTATAGCTCTGTGTTTCTTTGTGATTTGTTTACAAAGTAAAACATTTTTAAGATAACCTAAAACATTTATGAATTAAATTCCTGGCAAACGCGTTCTAAATTACATATCAAAAATATGCTCAAAACAGACACGATACTTTTTTATATTATACAACGTAAGTTAAAACGCCAAGCAACATAAATTTAAAAAATACTTAAAAACCTAAATTATTCTTTGCTAGTCAAAACAAAATTGCTGTTTAAATAATTAACAAGGGTTTTTGTTTATCAATATGTTAATTTTTTTTTTTTAATCCCGAAATTTTTAAAATAAAAAATCATTATATCGATTTAAAAAACAACAATTATTCAAAAACAAATTTCAGAAATAATTAAAATACGCATATATTTTTTTTACAAAATAATATTGAACTAAAATTAATATTAGAATAACAATTAAAAACATAACAAACTTTTCATAATATACTTTACATTTTATTTACATTTAAAACGTTTATAGTTATTTGAGTTAATTGTTAAATTGAACTAGTTAGCGGTTAATTATTGCGGTAGTTTAACACTTAACGTCTATAAAATATATATATATATATATATATATATATATATATATATATATATATATATATATATATATATATATATATATATATATGTCTATAAATTTTTATTATAATGCTTTTAATATTGATAAAAAGTTAATCTGAATCCTGAACCCCAACAAAATTAGTAATTGCGATAGCAGCACATACTGCTACAAATTTATTACCTAAAATATTTTTCTGCAATATTTCGATAATTGATTTAACAATTAAATCTGATGTCTCTCCTGAAAGTGACACTAAATCTACAAGTTTGCTTATGCGTTATTGTATGATACAGAAATTCTATTTCTGTTATTACTAATTGTTTGTTTTTTTCCAAAGCTAACTTTGTAGAAGTAGCTGCTAACTTTAGGAGAAGATACTGAGCTAAATTATGCTATTAATCATTTTTTAAATTTATCTACTGTAATGTGTCACTTAATACCACTTCTATTTAAGGGGCTGTCCATTAATTACATCAACAAAATAGAGGAGAGGGGGATCTGAATTTTTTGACAATTGTTGACAAGGGGGAGGGGGGAGGTCAAGAAAAGTTGACGCCAACACTTTTTTTTTTTTTTGAATATGTTACTTTTTTTTATAAATTTAACTATTTAAAAAAAGGAAAATTAGGCAGCGTTTGCAGTTCTGTGTTACATAGTCGCTCAACCTTCAGTATTTTAATTCCTATCTTATAATTTATATTCCTACTTTTTAAAAACGGTTTTGTGCTTTAAAAAGACCTGACATACAGAACTAAATAACTACACACAAGACTAGTAAAGCTATTATTTTTTCAAAGTTATTGTTATCTCAGTCGGCTGTGCATTCAAAAAAGATTCATGTAACTTACATTATAAGTAGATTGTCTACATTACATTGTTTAAACATTTATACAAGGGGTACAACCTGCAGCTTGCAAGCCTCTTGTGATTTTTTCGATGTCAAGATGAAGCCCTTTAGCTGCATCTTGATGTCGTAATATTATATCTTGACATGCACAAATATTAGTATAATCAGGGATGCGGAGTATCAAAAGGACTAGGGTTTTATATCTCTATTTTTTACTCGTCTCTGATGTCCAAAAATTCTGAACATGTTGGTTGATTTATGATCTGCTAAAGAAAAACTCATGAAATATAGTGACTTGAAACATGTTGTTTTTAAGCCCGGAGTCCCAGAGTCCTAGCCGCCATTATACCTGAGGACTCCGGGTTCAAAAAGAGATTTTTCCTCTAACCTAAAAGTCTTAACTTTTTTACCAATAGTAATCCATAAGCATTTTTATATTATCAGAGCTCCTGGATACCAAAACTAGGAAGAAGTAATCTTTTTGTGACATTCAAATTCGGAGTCCTTTTCGGGACTCCGCATCCCTAAATATAATATTAAAATAAAGATGTTGGTAGCTCTTTAAAAAATTAAAAACTTTGTATATTGTAACTTTTGGCTCTTCCGTCTCAAAAGGTTGCCATTCCCTGGTTGATACAATTTGTTAAATGTTTTTTTTTTATTCTAGGCTTTTAAAAATAATTGGCTTTCACTGTAAATTTGAATTAGGTCTAATGTTAAAGTAAGGAGAATTTTATTAATTTGAAATATGATTATAATTTAAACGTGTAAACATTTTTAAAGCCCTTTAATCTTTTTTTTCTTAAGAGTAATTCTTTGCATTTTTAAACTGGAATTATGTTTATAAGTTAAAAGTTTACTTTTTTTCTATACCTTTAACTTTAATTCACTTTTATTCAGAGCAAGCATTTGTAATTTTGCTTTTTTATTAAATTTGTAAAATTTGTAATTTTGTAATTTTAAATGATTATATTCATTTGAAATATGTTCATAAGTTAAAATTTGAATACATTTTTTTTCTAAACATTTTACTTTGAACTACTTTTTTGTTTCAGTTGTAAAATAGTTAATTTAAAACATTTTTTTTTCCATCTGAATTTTTTTTTTTTTTTTTTTTTTTTTTGGGGGGGGGGGGTTATCAAATGTTGACATAATTTCATAGGGGGGTCACTGAAAGTTTGACAAGTTGTTGACAAGGGGGAGGGAGAGGTAAAAATTGCCAAAAAATTGTTGATGTAATTAATGGACAGCCACTAATTGAAATTATCATTTCAAAAAGGACAATAACTTAAACTTTCTTAAATCCAAAAAAAATTTTTTTTTTTTTGAAAAATGTCAGGAAAATAAAAATGTCTGATTACAAATGATGAAACTAAACATAGAAGATAAATAAAAAACATAATTTTTGTGAGTTTTATTTATTATAAAAGAAACAAAAATCATACAGAAACTTTTAATTAAAATTGTTAAACTACCTGTTAAATGTTTTAGAAATTTTTCAAAATAACAAATTCCTTTATAAAATCTCTATGACAAATCTCACAGAAAACATTAATTTGAATTTTACAATTTTTTAAAATTTGAACTTTTTATGTAATTCTTTATGTAATTTGTAGCATTACCATCATGGTAATGCTACAGTTACGCAGCCTAAAATCATTTTTGCACTCTTGGTTGGGACATTTTGTTGGACAATTTGGATGTGTAACAAGCTTAAAAGTGGAAAAGACCTCATGTAAAACATCTGGTCACCTTACTCAAAATTAAATAAAAAGATTGTAAGTATTTCAAAACAAAATACAAACCTTTTAATAGAAGTGTGTTTGTTTTAATAAAGTTTTGCTGAGTCGAAAATTGAAACTTTTTTTCTTTATCATAAATAATATGCTTATTGTATAAATGATAAACACCAAAAGCAGTAATATTAACAACTGTTGAGTTTACCAAGTTAACATATAAAAACTTTGAATATTGACACTCTATGTCACCAAAATCTTTCATATAATTTATAATACTTTTGCTAAAAGGGTCTATTTCTTTTTTCAGAGCGCATATTAGTTCTTGATTTGACTTTTTTATCTTGTTGATATCTTTAAGATCTTGCTTTTGAAAATAATAATCATCGCTATCTTGTCTAATAAAATCATTCAAATTTGTCATATAACTATCTCCTCTAGTGTTAACAGGAAAGGTTGAATAATATAGAGTCATAAGAAAAATGGTAACAGGGACCAAAACTATAAAAATAAAGCATTTTTTAGGAGAAAACGCTAGCCTAATTAGCATATTTTACAAACATTAAAATTGAAAAAATACGCTATAAAAATATGTATACAATTTTATATATAAAATATTGTATATAAAATTTAGCCATCGAAATAGGGATTAGTTTAGCGGCGGTAAAAAAAAGCCGTCAGTAAACAATCAATTAGAAATTTCTGCGCCAAAGTACATCCCCGACTAATTAGTGTCGTCCATAAATTACGTTACGCTTAAAAAGGGGTAGTTTTGTGACGTCTCAAACGGAACTTGTTAATAAAGAGTTACGATGTTGTGACATGGAGGGGGAACAGGGGTCAAAAACGGTCAAAAGTTGCGTGACGTAGTTGTTTCCGTGTTAGGACGACTCATAACACGGAAAACAGATCTGTTCCCAGTGCACAGTGGGCCAGAGATCGGCATAAATGCCGAAAATGAGTATTTGTGGAAACTTTTTTTTGCAATATTTTAAAAGTAAATACCCCACAATAAAAAAATCTGTCGTTTAAATATTTTAATTTTTGTTTTAGGAATCCAGGAAAAGTTTTCAAGATTATCCATTTAAATTTTTTTTTTTAAAAAAAAAAAAAAAAAAAAGGTAAAAATACTCATTAAATTAAATTTCATCTCGTTAGTGCAGTTTTTTTAAATATTATTAAAATTTCATAATTTAAATACATGCTTTATTTTAGAAAATTTAACAAATAAAAATAATCTTGTATTTTAAGACTTTTTTTTTTACTTTAAATTTGACAGTTGAAAGTATTACAAAACATAATAAAAAGTTACCATAAATGGTTCAAGATCTTTTTTCGCCAAAGTTTTCCCACTATGGGATTAACTTTTTTACAGCGTCTTATTATTGTAGAAGGTTTCTCATAAAAAATACCTTGCGCAAAGTTGCGCCAATTAAAGTTTAGCAGGTTTTAAACATGCAACTCGGTTGTCATTTTTAATTGTTCAAAACACATTGTTGTTAAGTATGAACTCTAAATAATTAATTAATTGCAATTACGGAAACTACAAAAAACATTAAAATATAATGCTATTCCACTTTATTAAGTAATGTGATTTTTTTTAAAAATCACAAATGAAGATGTTATGCAAAGATTATTGTGCAGTTCAGATCCAATTATGAGCTCTCTAAGAAGGATTTCGAGATGTATTAAAGCACTTGAACTTAACAATTTGTTTTAAACTTTTGTTTTAACTTTTTTTTAATTTAAAGTTTTGAATATTTTTACTCTGATTTCTGATGAAATATCTAATAAATAAATATCTAATAAATAAATATCTAATAAATAAATATCTAATAAATAAATATCTAATAAATAAATATCTAATAAATAAATATCTAATAAATAAATATCTAATAAATAAATATCTAATAAATAAATGTTTCTTTGTTTATTAAAGGGGGTCAAACACGTCACAAATATTTTAATTAATTAATGGTTTGAATATGGGAAAAACTGTTTCTAAAAACAACCAAAAGTTGTCTAAAATCTCTAATGCCCTATACATCATTTTCTAATAGGGTGTTTAGGGTGCAAAAAAGAAAATTTTTTTAAAAAAGATCTTCATGTTGACTAGAGTCACTGATAAAAATTTTAATTTGACAACTTTAAAAATAAAGGAGTTATGATTTTTAGGCCATTTTATGTCGATCTTGGCCCACTGTGCAATGGAATGCATTCTGTTCCCAATGCATTCTGCGTCTTCCTAAGGTGTAATTTAAAACATTGCTTTTATAGCAAATGCTGAGATAAAAACAACTTTCGTAAATAGTTATAAAGACTCAAATGTTATACCAAATACCAAACTCAAATGTTAGTATTTAGTAAAAAAAAGGATTTATGGAGATTATTGTGTCATTTTTGGATGTCGTAAATATCGGAAAAATAATGAAAAAAGTAAGCTTAGCATTTTCAAAAGAAAATAAATTATGTAGATAAGGGCCATGATAAATGAGGGCCGTGTACCCTAAGGGTCCAGAGCACCCTTCAATTTGGGGGCTCAAGACCACGGGCCCATCTTTCTCTCTCTCTCATCCTCTATTATACAAAAATAAAAAAATTAAATAAAGAACCTGTTTAAACTTTTTGGTTATATTACTAGTATATATATATATATATATATATATATATATATATATATATATATATATATATATATATATATATATATATTTATATATATATATATATACTTTAAGATTTCGTGCTAGTAGAACTCCATACCTAAAATGGCAAAATCACTGGTTCAATTTTGTCCCATAGTTGAGCGCATAAAATTCTTAATGAGTTTTAATTTACTGAATGAATGCTCACTTAAGGCTACTGTCACTAGAATTGAAGCAAAAATACGCCCTGCAATCACTACATTTCTGAAGAGTTCACCAAGTTTCATTTAAGAAATTATGTTTAACAAGTCGAATGGGCAAGAGATTTCTCTCTAAAGTTTGCAGTATGAATTTGTTTTGTGAAGCAATTATTCAGTCAGTTCATTTTTAGTCACGTCCAGGGCCGGATTTACCTTTATCATGGCCTAGGCTAAAACTTAGTATAATGCCCTATGTCTTTCAGGATAAGTAACAATGAATTACTTGACCTTTTAATAAATAACATATGTTTATTAACAATAAAATTAAATAAATTAATTTTAATGTTAATAAACATGTTATTTATTAAAAGGTCAGGTAAATAAGGGAATGAGCTTCCACATCAACATGGCATGGGGCCCCACCGATGTAAATCCGGCCCTAGATTATCAAATCACAGAGTAATAAAATTAGTTTTTATTTTCCATAATTTAGATCTCGAAAATCAAATATCTGATGCAGAACAATCTATGACTCAAAGTCAAAGAGACAAGAATTTAAATCGGGCAATGTTACTGAACGGAGATACTGAACCGACGTTACTAAACATACTGTATATTAAGTAAGGTTGGTTCAGTAACTTATTTTTTAAAAAATATTATTTATTTTTTAGACATTTATTTAAAATTTTGTACTAATTATTGTTGACAGTGCCGGATCAAGGGGTGGGGGCCAGGGAGGGCTATAGTCTCGGACCTTTTTTTTAATCATTTTTAGGCTCTGGCCCATATAAAAGGCCTCCAAAAACAAAAATAGCCCCGGGCCCCAAGAATTTTTAATCCACAACTGATTGTTGACATAATAAATTTCAATATAATATGTAATTTTTTTTATTTTAAAAAATCAAAAATTCATAAAAAACAAAACAAAAACATAAAAAACACACAAAAATATTTGTTTTTTTTGTAACCCTACACACCACATACACAGTGACTGATCCAGAAATTTTTGGGGTGAATGTTGGAATATTTTTGTATTTTGTATCACATTTGCGTCTCCTAAAAAAAACCAAAAAAAAGGTTCTCTGTTTATAAAATACTTTATAACTTTCAGATTCTGGTACTGGGAGGGGATGCATAACCCATATATTCTACCCCCCCCCCCCCTCTCCTGGATCCGTCACTGCATATGCAGTACTTTTTTAATTTCAATATAACTAATTATAATTTTATTAACTGTAAATAAACTAAAAAAAATTAAACAAAAAGTATGTAAAATTCCTAACTAATTATATTAAATGAAAAATTATAAATTAATGGCAAATTAAAGAACACATCATTAAAATAAATAATAAAAACAAGTTAAGTTTTAAATATAATTATGAAGAACTGAGTTGAATAAAGTTTTCAAATATAAATTATAAACAAATAAAATCGAAGTCATTATTATATAACAGAAAAATTATGTAACCTTTTTTTGATCTTTTTTACTTTGTCTTACTTTGTCATACCTTTATTTTTTTATTAACTTTTATTTGTATTATTAAAACCTTGTGCCGAAAAAAAAGTTAATTAGATTTCTTATATTTTAAGTGTATATAAAATTTTAATAATTTTATCTACAGTTGAACTGTAGGTAAAATTATAAAAGTTTACAAAAATGAACTGTCAGCCAACATAATCTATCATAAAAATAAAAATTAATCAAACTATTTATTTGAATCATTTTAGTAAATGATATTACTATTCCATGAGAAGTTAATGTTACATCGTTTACTAGAATGAATAGATGATTTAAGTTTTGCTAAAGGAGGATTAAAAAAAAGAGTTTTTAAATAAACTCAAAATTGATAGCAAAAAAAAAAAATTAAAAACTTAATAGTCTTGAAAAAAATTTTTCATTTGATAAAAAATGAGTTTATTTAAATAATAACAATTACAAATCATTATTTTCAGGTTTACATTATCAGTTTGTCCAATTCATATTTTGTACATCTTTTTTTGAATTTTTTTAAATTTTTATTTTATTTTCCGATTTTTTGCATGGCAACTATTCTTTTTTTTGTAACATTAGCAAGCATCCTTTTTCTTTCCTCTTTTGCTCCAAGCATCACATTTTGCCTTTGATCTTCTGATTTATTTGCAAAGACAAAATCTTGAATAAAGGCAAATATTTCTCTCGGCACAGTCATTTGTTACTTGTATGTTTTTCACAAACTGAACAAATATTTTGTAGCTTTCCAAATCATCCCAGCTGCCAGAATCCCTTAATCCATTGAGAAACATCTTCCTTAGTAACACCAACAATGTCAAAAAGAATCCAGCTTTCTGGACCCACAAAGTTAGGAAGAGTCGAATTTCAGTCCAAACTAAGAGCCTTTGTTGGCTCTCTGTTATTTGGTTTCGACAAATTTTGTGATAATTTTGTGACAACAAAACTAAGGTCAGGGCGAGTAAATATCATTGCATAAACTAAACTTCCTACCATTTTATGATAAAGTTAGTCTAAATTTATTTCGTTTTGCGGTTCTTCATCGTATGATTTTAGGTTCGTTTCACATGGTGTTATTCTAGGTTTACAATCTTCCATTCCATATCTTTGTAATACATTAGTGAGGTAAACCTTTTGGTTCATAATTATT